CCTGCAACCGCCGTCTACCGCTGCACTCGCGCCTGGATTCCGTCGACACGGCCGTCGACCTTGATCACCCCTCTTTGCCTCGTGCCTTCGCTGCCGTTGACTCGTGCACCACCGTCGACCTCGTCGTCGACGCCACCCTCGTTGCGCACCGGTCAAGGAGATGCAGGATGGGAAGGATGTTCCGTCGCCCACTGCGACCGGATGCCCAACTCGACGATCAGCAAGGGGATCGTCCCGTACTCACCATCCGCATGGCGTTTCCTCGCATCAGCCAAGCGTGTCTCCAAGGTGTCCGCTACACCCGCATTAGCTACAAGGTCGACCATGGTGACTATCGCTACTGCCGGCCTACGAACGACTTCGTAGGTGCAAAAGTCAGCTCCAGTCTGAAGGTAATCTGCGGGGCCGTCCACGCTCACTGCACCATGCAGAGAATCACTCTACAATGGTAGTGAGCTAGACTACGGGGGTTGGCACGAACTACTAGGAGTGATCGTAGCTTTGCTTAGTTCCTTAGTGCTAGCACATTCACGGGAGAAATCGACAAGACTTTCCACTAGGCAAAGTCGAAATTACAGAATTGATTGAGTTCACAATGACAAGAATGACTACATCAGGAACCTAACAACTCTGCAGCTAGCCTGGTCGACCGCCAGCACAGCTTGGTCGACCGCCTGCCAGCGTTGCGTAGAGGAGCCGCGCATGCACTGCAGAAAGGCGACCTGCCAATAGAGCAGGTCGACGGCGTGCCAACGCTGCAGCAGAGCGGCTGTCATGCGTTGCCCCGTAGAACACAGCAGTGCGCACGCTCGCAGGTGCGCGCAGACGATTGGCCCGACTTGCCTCGTTGGCCATCCGTCGGCTGTTGTCTGCGCCTGACGAGCCACATCGACTTCGGAATACCAGCCCGCAGTCGTCTTTGCCATCGCGACCTCGACGACGTTCGCATGCCTCCGCCGAACTCGTCGAGCAGGTTACCCGGTCGACCTGGTCGACCACCAGGTGTTTCCGGTCGACCACCACTGCCTCTGGTCGACCACCAGGTCTCTCTGGTCGACCAACAGGTGCCCTTGGTTGACCACAGCTCCCGTCGAGCGAACCCCTGGTCGAAGGACCCCTTCCGTCGACTAGAACTGTTTGCGGTTGTCGCCAAGCTCCCCTCGCCGACCGCTTCTCACTTGCAGGTCGACGAACTGCTCCGTCGACCTCTCGATCGAACTGCCCCTCCTGGTCGACGGCCCACCCGTCTCCCAGACTAGTCATTTGAAGCTGTCGAGCTCCTTGGTTGACAGCAACACCACAGCGGTCCCCTGCAGCTCGACAAAGCCTGTCGAGCAGCTCTCCCACTGTGAACGGTCGGTTGATACTCCCGTATATCCGACCAAGTCGTCTGCGTTGCCCAAGCGAGGGCGGGGCCAACACTCCACCCCCACTAACACTCCTCACCCCATCTCCTCTTCCTTGGGGTGCTGTAGGTTGGTGGCGGCGAGCAGAGTCACACAGAAGAGGCGGACGTGGTGGTGTTGGACTCTCTTGCCCCCGTCCTCCCAACTTCTCTTCCTCCTTGTATCCCTTCATCCATCCCTCCCTTCGTCTGCTCCTCCCTTCCTCCATGCTGCCTCCTCGTCGCCGCCTGCCGCATCGCTCTCTCATCGCCTTCGCCTCCACCGCCGCCTTGCCGCCTTTAGGGACGAAACTGGCTGTCCTTCTCTTGTCTCCACGTTCCTCCATGTCCGCTTCTCCCTGCATGCGTCTCAACCTTGTCCTCTCCCCCCTGTCCTCCGCTCTCCCCCCTTGTCCTTTCTCCCCTTTCCTCCGCTCTCCCCCTGTCCTCCTCTCTCCCTTCCTTTCCCTCATGTACCAACTTCCTTTCCCTGATTGATCCCCCCTCTAACCCCTCATTCCCTTCCTTCCTTTCCACCTTCCCTCCGTTTCTCCCTTTTCTTCCCCGTTGCTCTAGCTTTCCCCCCTTGCGTGCCTTCATTTCCCCCACTGTTTCCCCTCTTTCCCCCCCTGCTTCCCCCCAATTCCCCTCCTCCCCTTTCCCCCAGGTCGCACTTCCCTTTCCCCCTAGGTCCCTCCTCCCCCATCCCCCAGGTCGCACTTTCCTGTTCCCCCTCATAGAGAACCTTCTCACTCCCTCGCAATGCACTACCACTCCCTTCCCTTTGCTTCCATTCCCCTCCCCTCCTCCCTTCCCTTTACTCCCCTTCCTTTGTCCTCCCTGCATTTCCCTTCCTCTCTCCTCCCTTACCTCCATTCCTTTCCCCTCTCTTCCGTTCCCTTCCCTTCCCTTCGCATCTCTTCACCTCCCTGCCTCCCCTTTTTTCTCCCCGTATCCTCGTCTCTCCTCCCTGCATCACCCTATGAGCGTGCTACCTCCTCTAGTGTCTTGCTATGTGCAGGACGAAGCCATGCCTTCACAAGTTTGGTGGCGCGAGGGTGAAGCAGCAGGGGGAAGAGTACATAGAGGAGCTGAGGCAATAAGAGGAGTGGTGGCACACTGTTTTGAACATCGAGATATTTGTAGAACAATACTACTGCAGTACTCTGTAATTCACATGTAAAGCATTGTTGCCAAAAAAAGAAATCTTCACTGAACGTACATCACCAATGCCATCATTATTGGATATCATGTTTCTGACGTGAATGTATATTCTGTTGTAAGTAACATCATTCAACGATTCTCGACATGGAGAGGGTCCGCACTATCCTAGGCTCAACTAATTGTCATCTTGGGTGCTTCATGCTCGACGACCTGCACCACTTAAGGGAGAGGGAAGGTGTGAATGAGCAGACAGGGGAGCATAAACAGATTGTGAGATAACGAGTGGCATAGGGACAAGGATGGTGAGAGAAAGAGCATGGGGAAAAGAAAAGAGTGAGGAGGGAGGAACTAAGGGTAGGGGAAAAGAAAGACTGAGCCGGGCGTAAACACAAGGTTAGCAGGGGGGAAGGAAAGAGAGGAGCAAGGAGGGGAGAAATGACAAGGGGGGGGGGGGAAATGACAAGGAGGGGAGAAATAGCAGGGTGGGGAGAAATGAAAGGGTGGGGAGAAATGACAGGGTGGGGAGAAATGACAGGGTGGGGAGAAATGACAGGGTGGAGAGAAATGACAGAGTGGGGAGAAATGACAAGGTGGGGAGAAATGACAGGGTGGGGAGAAATGACAGGGTGGGGAGAAATGACAGGGTGGGGAGAAATGACAGGGTGGGGAGAAATGACAGAGTGGGGAGAAATGACAGAGTGGGGAGAAATGACAGGGTGGGGGAGAGGGGTAGGGAGAGAAGGGTGGGGGAGAGGGGTGGAGGAGAAGGCGGGGGAGAGAGGTGAGGGAGCAGCGTAGGGGAGGGCAAAAAGGGAAATGTTCATAGCTGTCTCAAAACAAGCACCAAACGGACTGCGGGTCATCGCACACGTGGGGGGTGGGGAAGGGGAACACAGAGGGGAACGGGCATGGAGACGAGGGCGGGGAGGGCAGTGAGGGGGAAGGGGAGGGTTATCAAGATGTCCCTAAACTAGCTTGCGCTGCAGCATGCTGTACTTGCACCGCTGCAGTCTGCAGGGGCAGGTCGGGGTTGAGGAAGGGAGGGGAGAGGGGAAAGGGAGGGGGGGACCAGAGGGGGAAAGGTTGGGGAGGGCACTGAGGGGGAAAGATTATGCAGGGCAAGAAGGGCTAAGGGTGGGGCTCGACGCACGGTGTGCACACCTGAGCGCCCAAGGATGGACGGGAGCAAGAGAGGTGGAGCATGACGAGGATTTGCAAATTTGACGAGCAAAATATGGGTGTTGAAAACGTCCCTCTTCGCCACGTATCCCCTTCACACATTCCTCACCAACCAACCCCCGCAACCTCACTTTCTCCGCCCTCTCCCTATCCCCACCTCTTATCCACCCTCTTCCCATGCTATAGCAAGCTCTCCTTCTTCCCCTCTCCTTTTTACCTCGCGGAATGCATCGACGATCTCGTTTTAGGAGCACCCGATTTCATTCTCGATGCCCATCTGCCGCCGCCGCTCCACCTCGCGCGGGTCCTCAATCATCACCTCGCGCGGGTCCTCAATCATCACCTCCAAGCGGATCTGCTTGCAGCAGGCGCACGGAGATTGTTGGGAGGTAGGGTAAGCGGGAGGGAAATGGGGAGAGGGAGGAGGGGAGGGGGGGGGGAGAGGAAAGTTGAAACGCGGACAGAAGGGAGGTGAGTGAAGCGTGCGATGTCACTAGGGTCCAGAATGTTACAAGATTTACGAATGTCGCGAGAGACCTACATCTGAAAGTTCGGGCGCCTGGATTGGGGTCTTTGAGTTGAGTTTGGGTTTTTCGGGTTGGGTTCTGGCGAGTTTCCGAACACACGGTGTACGTGTGATGGGTTAGGCCGATAGGCACCCTCTATCGACCACTCCCTTGATGGTTTCGTATGCGTGGAAACATTCGGAACAGTGCGGACTGGTAATGCCCTATCATCGAAGGGTACAGGTGCTTTGCGGCGCACATGAGGTACAATGTGCGGCTGTGTGAGTTCGATTTACAGATGTTCCTGCGGATGGTCATTCATCATTCGGTTAGTTGATGACGTGGCCCAAACATGAACGGCCTGACGTCGCAAAGTGCGCGATGTAACGATTTATTTTGTTGGAGTGTTACTCTGACATGCAAATGAGTCTCGAGTGACTTTATTGAAGTTACAATTCCACTGTTACAATCTTTGTTACAGGGCGCCACGCGTTATTAGACTGATCTTGGTGCATCGAATCGACAAGATAATACTGTACCGTAGTGTACTGTTAATCGAAAATGAATATATATAAAAAGCTTGTATTCTACAAATGTGCAATATAATTTAATAATATTAGCCAGAAACTCGATTCTGCACGTGTACATAGACCACATAATTCATCATTAGAGTCATCAATTACATCGACAATTAGATGCCCCTACACTAACCTACTAAACCGTGCTAGTATTGCACCAGCTACACCTTTCTTCCAAAACTAGGACTCTTAAGGGGGGGTTCCATTAGGGAAAATCACGGACTCAAAGCCCTCTACCAGGATCTTGATGACAGGGCTCATGTTGAAGCTAGCAGGAGGCCTGGAGTCCCATATCGCCACATCCCCTGCGTCATAGGTGGCCTTGATCCAGGCCGCAACCTGGTCTATCTTCAGAGCAACATTCCGGCGGTTCACTGCCTCAGCAGTGTCCAGTGCCGGGGTAAGGCGGCCCCTGGCATTCACCAAGGGCCACTCCACCTGCAGTTGCAACAGGGTTTCGGGTTTAGTTAGTTTCGTTAGGTAACCCATTAGGAGGAATAAAGAAATCTCCTGCACTCACCACGTTCAACACATAGCCCACAGTGGGAATCTTCACAGCCATAGTTGTTGCACGCTTGCTTCCAAGCCCACAAAGAAGGGCAAGCTGGAAAGGACGGTTGGCGTACGGTCGGTTTGTTATCGGGTCAAAATGCCAGTTTGCGCTAAGGCCGTAAACATCTGCGACACAAGGCACGGAAAACGGGCGTTAGGAGTCATTCCGTAAAAAATAATTAAATCGAATAAATTAGTACATAATAACTTACGATGTTCATAGAAACGGCACCACTAAAGAGGGGTGCGCGAGGTGGACGGCGCGACATTCTCCTCAGCGAGAATCTTCCACTTCGACTCTGGAACGCACCCACCAAGGCCCCTCCCGAAGGTCTTGGCGTCGGAATTGACATTGGAGCGCTTCTCTAAGACCTTCCGCATGGCCAGCGCCTCTTTGTTGGGGTCGTTGCTAATGACGTAGTAAAATACGTCAGACTGCACGCCCGCGTTCTCGTACTTCATACACACGACCTCCCGGAACTCCGCCCACTCAGGGTAGAACTGCATCGAACGTGCAGGCGCATCCAACAACAGGTACGTGAATGCCTCGGTTGCCTTTCTCTGGAAGGTAAAACACGGAAGGAGTAGAACACGGACGCTAATAAGTAAAAAATGCAAAAACCTATACTTAATTTCGGAAGCAACTTCCGAGGATAGTGAAAATACACCCGCATGGAAAACAAGCACAAGGCACCGAATCTTACCCCAAAATGCTGATCATGGCTGACAAGTGGGGGGATGATGAGAACGCCATTGGCGTCGAGGGGGATGCGATCCATGTTGAAAGTGGGAGGGACATGACGCGGCGCAGCGAGTACTCCCGTACCCTGAGCAGCGGACACATCCTGGATGAGCTGCTCGTTTAGCCTGATGAACTCAGCACAGCGCTGGTTTAGCGCTGATACCTCGGCGTCACGCTCCGAGAGGAGCTTTGACAACTCCTTCTCGCGCTCCTGTGTTTGCCGAAGGGTCGTTCGAAGGTCATCAATATGACCTTGCAGCCGGAAGGCCTCAACAGCTGCTGCGTGATCTGCCGGAACAACTGGCACAGAGAAATGCATGCACAAGCACAACAGCGGTGATTAACATTACTATGCATCAGTAAACAACTGAGGAAACACATCCGGCATTGGAAAGGTATGACGACGTAACGCGGACTTACTAGATTGGGCGTTTACTGGAACGGAAAACCCCAAAAGTGATTCGACAACTCTGCCAGCGGCAGTGCCGGCAGTTGGGTTATCAGCGGCTGCGGCAGTGACGCCTGAAGCGTCAGCAACAGTGGAGGTTTGATTTGCAGCACCAGCAGAGGCGAGAGCAGTGTTGGGAGATGGAGTGGAGACCGATGCTGCGTTGACCACTGTCACCGCGGGTGTGATTTCGGTGGTCGCGCCAACAGGAATCGAAACAGCAGCAGATGCATCGGTAGTGGTTTCGGTACTTGCGGCGAGAGGCATAGGACTGTCAGATGGAGCGGCCAACTCGGTTACGGCGGCAACCGTGAAGGCCGCCGTAGTGGCCGGTGTAGTTTCCGCTGCCGTGTCAGTAGGTGTTGACGATGGTCCCGCACCGTCGCTGCTAGAGTTTGCTAGTAAAGTGCTTAGGCGACCCTTTTTCTTCTTCTTCTTCTTGCCGAGCTTAACCCCGCTCTGCTTGAGCTGCTGCATGTACCCCAACATCTCGTCCAGGTTCAGGTCATCCTTGCTGTCACCATCCTCCCCAGCCTCATCTAGGAGGTCCCGCTGGACGATGACCCCTTCGTCGCAGTCGTCTGTCATGTTTGCGACCGCAAAGATGCGCTTGAGAAATTTGATGCCACTCATATTGCAATGTATGGATGGAAGTTGGTCGCTCTAGGCCGAGTTCCAGTCGTTTATGGCGGGAGATTTACAGTCTCGCGTCGCTTGAGCACCAGCTCTGCGTGCGCAGTGTGCGACTGCTGAGCGCGAAAACCCAACTTGGTGTCTGACGTCGCGGGCACGCCAGCTGTGCGTTGTGCATGGCCACAATTGTTTCGTGTGACGATCCTGGCTGGTCGATGCGACTGACGTGCTGCCTCGCTCCGGATATTATGGTCAAGCGGCGGGCAGAGAAAGTTCCGCAAACATATCTTGAACTAAGTGTATTGACATCTTCACGCCCGCGAAGTGGTGACGGGCTGCCAGCGGTTGGCGCACTTACACGCAACATAGCCTGGTACTGTACCATATTGACGGATGGTCATCCTTCGTGGGTGGTCTGCAATTTTTCCTGACATGGAAATTTTTGAAGGAGGTATTGTAGGACAGCACCTATAAACGGAAAGTATTGCTTAGAACAACTGAGAGACATTTAAATTTGAGGGTGGTTCAATAGTGTTATATATAATAATGTTATATATATGTTTAAAGATAAACCTATTGACCAACCACAGTTGGTCTCTAGAATCAGGCTGCACCAAGTCTACTGATCGCAAAATACTATTTACGCTTATGACCTGGTATCGCTGGTGTTGTAAATCCCAACGCAGCTGCGCGCATCCTATTGCCGGATCTTTGTCCGGGAGCAAACGATAGTATTTAATGTAAGCGTATGGAATCAGTTCCGTGCCATCTCTCAGCTGGAATAAAATCAGGGTCTTGGCATACCACTCTTCATGGTTGTCGTCCACCAAACGTCCCCGCACCGCAATGTCCGAGTACCAAGGTCGCCCATAAAAGCTCGCCACTGCGCGAACCCGATGAGGCAACCGTCCGAAATCTGCACCCAGTGCCGCGGGCATAGCGAGCTCGTTGTGTACCTGAAGGTCACAACATGAGAACAAAAGCACAGTAAAAAGAAATAAAATGTATGAAATTATGTCAAATTTAAGTTGTACAATATTTTGTGAGACTTTTTTCGCATTGTACTCGTGTCAAACCCGAAACTGCTTCTCGGAACCACAAGGCGGTATGGGTTGGTAAACAAATAGACTAGTATCGAGCAAGAAGCGTGAAAAAACACGACAAACACAGCTGCTGGCAGTGTCGAGCGCAACTCACCTGGATGACGTGGACGTTGCTCCCGTTGCATCCAGGTGCCGCATCCAGGGCACGTCGCAGGTTCTGCAGGTCGCCTGTGAGTTGCCTGTTGAAAGCGGCGTCGCGCGCAGCTTCTGGCGCCACTGGTTCCACGTAAGCTTGACTCGTTCGCCTCGGCAAGACCGCCAGCTTCCAGAAGGATCGCGAGAGAATCCGCGATCCTGTAGAGATCACTTGGAAATTGAAAATGTGAACAGATGAAAATGAAATTGTAGAAACATAAAAATGAAAAAAACAAGCATGAAGGGAATGGAAGCCTTCACAATTATACAAAATTGACTAAGTAGCCTTGCTCACATGTAGCATCGCTGTGTCATATCGCTTCCGCTTGCCGGGCTGTGGTGCAAGTGCTTGCAACCGCAGCCTGTTCACCTCGGCGTTCATCACTTGGGCAGCGGCGTTGCGCTTGTTCGAAGCTCGGTACGGGTTCTTCACGTACTCGATGTGAAGATGCTCGAATAGTTGTGCGCACCAATGCTCTGGAATTCTTGCGCGGCGGATAGCGTCGATATAGTGGCTCACCAGATGCACCTTGATGATGTTCCAGCTTGATTTCTGGGTGAACGCTTCAAGACCACGGAGCATCCTGTCGAAAGGGATAAATGCTCTTAATTAGTTAGAGGTGCACACCCGTGTCCATAAAGGCTAATTGAATGTCACATGTAAACGTACCTGCTCGCCATGAGCTTGACTTGGCGTAAACTCTCCTTGGTATGCTCGGTGACTCGTGCTTAGTATGTGTACCACTCGATGTACGCAATGATGCCTTTGATCTGATCATCAGTTGCATATCCCTTAATAAGGAATGGGAGGATTTGCATGATACTACGATGTTTGTATGCCTGGTAAGATGCACCATTGCCAAAGTAAGACCCCGAGGGGAGTCTAAGATGCGGGTTGCGGTTGATACTTTTGTAGAATTTCAACCGCGTATCCAACGCTTCCCTCTGCGTTTCCGTGCATTGAGCGCGAATTGCATCAATGATGTACTCTAGGATGCCCAAATCCGCTTGGTGCATAATATCCGGCATTAGGCATAGATACGGGTTGAGAAGTGCATGAGACTCGAAACGCCATCCCCATAGGAAACATTTCACGAGGTGTGTCGATAGCTCCATGTTCTCCCCCGTGGGTAAGCAACGACGTTTTATCAAAGAAACAATCGTTCTTTGCATGGTCGGCAAGCGTGCTTTTGGTTGGTCAAGCAAATCCTTCAAGTTTTCCTTGTACACGGTGCAAATGGAGCAAGGGTGGCTTGTGTTCCACCCTTGCTTGGTGCACGACACCTTGCATGTCTCAGGGTAATCGGCAACATATGCATAGAGCGCGGGCCACGCATTGTATGACACTCCGGCCACGTCCTCAATAGGAATACCATGATGTGACGCCTTGATCAAAGGCTCAAGAACGGTGTGCATGATATTTTGGAACAAAAAAAGCTTATCATCGGAGTTATACTCCAATGGGTACTCAGGCAATAGAGCTAGCAAAACATGACCGAATGGTTTCCATCGATCATCTTTATCAATGTTGGCCAAGGTAAGATATACCGGATGGCCTTTGGCTTTCCCCCGATGATCCAAATGCGTCTCATCACTAGCAAGGATGAGAGCACACACCACCCCATTAGGGTCCTCTTTTCGTATCTCTTTATGGAGAGCATCCCACCAATCTCCCGTCTCGGGACTGGAATACACATGTTTCACATTTGAGGCACGAGGGGTGGGGTGCAACACCAGTTTTTGGGCCACCTTTGGGTGTGTCAAAAGATCTTTGATGCCTTGGATGGCATCACAGTAGAAATATTCAACATAAGGCTTACCCGCGAGGCGCACTTTAGCCTTTTTCCAATTCCGATGCGCATCGGGTGCGTGGTCGTCCGCATATTTCTCAACGTCTCTCATGTTTTTGAGCTCGCACAATTGCTCGAGACACGCCTCGTGGTGGCTAAAAATCTGTAGCAACTCATCAACTTTCTTCTTGCTCACTCCACAAGTGAGCAACCAATGCACAAATGCATTCAAAAAACTAAACAGTGGACTCTCTTCGCCACCATTTGTGCTGCCCTCGGCCTCACCATTCATAGGGGCAGAGGTGGCGTCATTGGGCAACCCATCCGGCGTTGATTCGACACTATTTGAGGGAGTGGGGGCTGGATGGAATGAGTCGGGCACCATGTTGTCATGCGTGGATCCCTCATTGCCTCGTAGAGGCTCCGGATCTACTTCGGCGCTAGGAGGAGTGGGCATGGAGAGAGTGGGAGAGGGAATGGAGAGGGTGGGGGATGGCATGAAGGTGGCATTGTGCCGGTTCTTGAGGAATGGGTTGCCACTATTTGCCGCAGCCGCATTACGCAGATTCCCGGGGCATCGTCCGCCATGCCGATGGTTCGTCACGTTGCCTCTTGTTGTGAAGCCCGTGGCGGGACAATCGGGGCAGCTGTACACCATTGTCCTGTATTGTTTAGAAAATAGGAAGAGGGTGGGGCGGATAGGGAGAGGGTGGGGCGGATAGGGAGAGGGTGGGGCGGGGAGAGTGTGGGGCATGAAAACATGAGCAGGAGCAGCGAGTTTCCCTGAGAGGGGCGGATGGAGATAGGGAATGGAGGCCAAAGGAGGAAACGGAGGGCACTGAGAGGAGATGGTGGGGTGAGAGAATGGCGGGCAAACGGAAGGAAAGGAGGGCACAGAGAGGGGGAATGACAGGGCAGAACGAAGGAGCGTCGGGCAGAGAGCGGGAATGGCGGGGTGAGGGAATGGCGGGCAAAGTGAAGGAAGGGAGGGCACATCGAGGGGATGACAGAGAGGGGATTTGGCAGGGCAGAGCGAAGGAAGGGAGGGCAGAGAGAGGGGATGGCGGGGTGAGGGAATGGAGGGCAAAGGGAAGGAACGGCGCGCGCCGTGAATCCGCTCGGCGCAAGGCCTGGCATGCGCCGAGCATCGTATTCATGCGATGTGCGCCGTGAATCCGCTCGGCGCAAGGCCTGGCTTGCGCTGAGCATCGTATTCGTGCGATGTGCGCCGTGAATCCGCTCGGCGCAAGGCCTGGCATGTGCCGAGCATCGAATTCGTGCGATGTGCGCCGTGAATCCGCTCGGCGCAAGGTCTGGCATGCGACGAGCATCAATTTCACGGCGCGCCTCGCACGTGCGCCGTGAATCCGCTCGGCGCAAGGCCTGGCATGCGCCGAGAAGCAGATTCGTGTGTTGTACGCCGTGAATCCGCTCGGCGCAAGGCCTGGCATGCGCCGAGCATCAATTTCACGGTGCGCCTCACACGTGGGCCGTGAATCCGCTCGGCGCAAGGCCTGGCATGCGCCGAGCATCGGATTCGTGCGATGTGCGCCGTGAATCCGCTCGGCGCAAGGTCTGGCATGCGACAAGCATCAATTTCACGGCGCGAGTGCGATGTGCGCTGTGAATCCGCTCGGCGCAAGGCCAGAGAAAGATTAAAAGGCGGAGATAGAGAATGAGGGGCCTCGAGGAGGAATGAAGGGAAGAGACGACGCGATGTGCGGCAATCAGAGAGAATGACAGAGGGCGTGTGATAAGGTGGGGCGCGGACAGAGAGTTTGGGGCAGGGAGAGAGCCCGAAGGCGCGATAGAGAGAATGAAGTGTTAACGGGCTTGCGCCAAACTGTCCATGCACGGCACGCCGCGCATGCGCGCCGTGCATCAGCTCGGCGTGTACTGGGTTGCGCCAAGCGTCTCATGCACGGCATGCCCCGCAATAGCGACGCGCATGCGCACGGCGTGTTCACGGGGATGCGCGAAGCAAGGAATGGTCTTGCGCCGAGCATCACTTGCACGGCGCGCACCGCATCACGCACGCCGTGCATCTGCTCGACTTGAACATGATGAGGTGATGCGCCGAGCATCACTTGCACGGCGCGCACCGCATTACGCACGCCGTGCATCCGCTCGGCGCAATCATGATGAGGTGATGCGCCGAGCATCACTTGCACGGCGCGCACCGCATCACGCACGCCGTGCATCCGCTCGGCGCAATCATGATGAGGTGATGCGCCGAGCATCACTTGCACGGCGCGCACCGCATCACGCACGCCGTGCATCCGCTCGGCGCAATCATGATGAGGTGATGCGCCGAGCATCACTTGCACGGCGCGCACCGCATCACGCACGCCGTGCATCCGCTCGGCGCAATCATGATGAGGTGATGCGCCGAGCATCACTTGCACGGCGCGCACCGCATCACGCACGCCGTGCATCCGCTTGGCGCAATCATGATGAGGTGATGCGCCGAGCATCACTTGCACGGCGCGCATCGCATCATGCACGGCATGTTCACGGGCTTGCGCAGAGATTCTCATGCCACGGGCTCTCCGCATTCGCGCCGAGCCTAAGCTATTGCTATGTTTTAGGTGCAAAACGGATCGCGTCACCCACGCGCCGAGAATGTGGGTTCATCCTTTACATTGCAGTTTTTTCCACTAACACGGATGGTGAAAGAAGAGAATGCGTGAGGAAGGACTAACCTGGTAGGAGATTAATCGTAAGAGCCGAAAACGGGCGCAACGAGCTCCGCAATGACCTCCTAAAGCTCCGCCAGTGACCACAGCTGGGGCGGTGAAGGTGTCTGAATTTCACGGGGCGAGAGTTAATGTTCAACTTCGAGTGGAAAAACGCAGCCTGAACACACTACTCCAAAACGATGCACCTCACCAAGTGCCAGTAACTTGACGGGATTTTGCTCTTAGCACAGATCCAGCAATGTAGATATTCTAGAGGATCCCTGCCAAACCGTACTGGATGTCAAGTATACCGCGTTAAAACATTGTTTACCATTTTCAACCGCACTCGCACAATCTCGCAACATGCCCCAGCGCCAAAGCGCATCCAATTACGAGGTGCATTTCGTTTGTGAGAGGTGCTGAATATGTTTGAAACGGTTGAAGAATCCAGCGCACTGCATCAGCACAAAATGAATGTGCACATGTTGACGCTGGGTAAGGGAATGCCGATGTGAATTTGAGCCCAAATTCGAACACGACTCGAAACAAATTCAAGCTGCGGCATCCCGAAACGGCGCGTTGACCGATGGGCTGTGGTTTGTCTTGTGGGAACAAAAGCGAGATTGAGTTACTCCACAGATACAGCTCAAACAATATTGCGTCAATATTAAAAAAACAATTTCAAAGGCTTGCAAGTACATAACTCATTACATCACATTATGGAAAGTGAAAGAAATGGAGGTCGAAGCAAATAAAAAAAAACTATCCCTAAACTCACCATCAAAACAAAATTGAATACGACCACTATATGTCCAAAAAAAAAAAACCGTAGTTAGGGCAACCAGAAACAAGAACAACCTTTCTCAATATATCTTACTATTTACTAATCAACAAAAAACCATATAACCATTACATCCTTGATCAAACACACACCAAAACAAAAATCCCCTAACTCCTCAAATGAGTGTAAGACATTTGTCAGTTATCCATCCACATTGTGTACACACAATACAAATCGCATCTACATAATGTCACGGGACTTGCTTCGACATAGGCTAGGTGAAGCCAAACGGAAGAGGTGACGTGTCAACCCAAGTCACTCGAAACAGAGCTTCCAGCTGAAATAAGTGTACGCGTACACAAAACGCCCGTTTGCAGCCACGTTGCAGAATCGAACGATCCACCCACTCCCATGCCACCCAACTCCGTGCCCTTACACACGAGTTTCGACCATTCCCCCCCTCAAACACCCCAACCCAGCCGCACAGGTAAAAACCCACTGTACAGAATCATTTCCAGAGCACCCCCTAGTGCTCCTCGAAACTCGATTTGCTGGAGGCCTGTTCGGGGATGGCTCACAAACTTTCTGATGTAGGCGGTCGTGAATCATCTAGAGAATGTCATGTATGCCTACTCAGGACCTGCGCCTCCTCCGTCGACAGCCGCGCCTCCCCATCCATCCCCTCTGCTGCCGCCACTGCTGCCCGCATGGGCCGCCTAGGCGCAGGACCCGGTTGTCGCGATGATACCCGTTGCTGCGATTGGCGGCGACATAGGACGGCTAGCGGTTGCTTGGACGAGAAAACGACGGCAGGCAACGTGCGGGATGCCACACGCCTGTTAACCCTAGACGGAGATCTGAGTGCGCCATCGCGGCGAAATGCGCACTAAAGGAGAACTGCCATAGGTCTGGCGGAAGAGCCGAAGTGCGGGAGAGATAAATACTGGGCGGCGTGCTGAACTTGAAGGGCTGGCACGGGAGCGACGTTACGACTTCGGCTAAACTGTGCTACGGCCCCAGTCTTGATTATCGTCAGAAGAACTAACGATCTCATGATAGCGGTGCGCTGTGGCGGTGGTTGCTAAGCTACTCCTTTGCATGGAATACGAGCGGTGGTTTCTAAGGGCGGGTCCAACTTTGCACATGTACAATAAATTTTCAGCTCGGTTACCACATTTCGGCATGTAACAGAACTACAAACGTACCAGAATCCATTTGACGCGAGACTGTACATGTATGGTGACATTACGGAAACGTGCTCGTGGACGTGCAGAACACGACCCAAGGTTCACGTCAAACTCGTTTCGCATCAAACACGCCAGAAGGTAGCACCATTTTTCGCTAATTTGTTTTTCGCCAATGAATCCCACCTCCGTCACTGGCGCGAAAAACCTTGCTTTGTTGGGTAATCCCTCATCCCAGCTACTGTACCCCGCAGCGTTACTGTACCTTGTCAAAAGTCCGAATTGCGCACTCGGAACTGGACAGGAAATGTTTGGAGTTCGCCCTGGGGTACAGTCAAGTTTGACTAGTGAATTGACGTAAAAATGGCGAAAAAAACGGGAGTGTGCAAAGTTGGACCTGCCCTAAGCTACTCTTTTGCTTGGAATATGAGTGAGAGGGTGTCTCAGATGTCTGAGTCCACGTGGGTCCGGCTCGGACCTCACGGACCAGCTCAAGAACCAGCGCGTGAACCAGGGCGGACCGGGACCAGGATGCGGGGCTTATAACCCCGTTATACCGTTCGAATGGCACTAAAACGGTGCCATTTATTTGGCCCGCCAGACCAGTCCGCGCCTGAAGAAAATGGGTAACTCGATTTCAAATTCGTCGCTACTGCTGCCTCTCGCAAATGCCGTGCAGCCCGAAGCGCGACGCATTAGGCAGACCAGTCCGTGTCTGGTCCAACGCTGGTCCGCCAAGTGGGTCCGCCGAAAATAGCTCAGCGGAACCAGGTCGACGCCCGAGGGAGCTCGCTGCCCGCAGGCGAAAAACATAAAACCCATTCGGGCATGCATCCGGTCAGGGAGGCATCAACCCCGGACCAGGCATATAGATTCTGGTCGCGGACCAGATCCAGAGGACCCTTCACATGAGACACGTCCTGAGCTGGTTCGACAGTCACAACCTTCGTGGTTCACAAACTGCCTGGTCGGAATCAAGTTCCCAACTCCCATAAGGCCCGTCACAACTGACGAAGGGGGAAGAGACTATCCGCGCAAGTCTGCCAACACTGAACTTTGGTTTGCGTCTGACCCCCAACCACAAACCGGGTAACCACCAAAAGGCAAGTGATAAATCTTTGCCTCCAACCCCCCCAAAGTGCACCCTTGCTTTAAGATGTGCGGGCGAAGAACTGGCGTAGAATGACGGGCTAATGTATTGATCAACGGATAACAGGAGATGGGCGATGGCGGGCGTAATTATGCGGCTTATATGGAATGGACCACTGTAGCGAGGTCGAAGTTTTGGCGTGACGGCAAGCGTATGTTTTGGGTGTCGTGCAGAATATAGTCTCCTGAGAGGTACACAACAGGGCGTCGGTGGTGGTCGGCGTTTCTCTTAGCGATGGCATTCGCGTTTATGATTGCATCTGCTACGCGTGTTTGGACAGCATGCAGAATGTTGACAAAATGTTGAGTTCGTGGTGTCAGGTTGTCTGGGTTCGGCGCCATGGGCACTGTAGGGTTCTGCGTATAATCTAGGCGAAACGGAGACTGCTACGTTATTGCCGACGTGGCGTTGTTGTAAGCGAACGCGATCAATGTCAGTTGCTGCTCCCATGTTGTGGGATCGTCACGTCATGCATGGCACAAATTAGCTGCTCCATGGTCCGATTTGCGGGAATAGCTTTAGCAACGGGAGCTAGACTATGGGCAAGGCACGCATGCTCGGGTGATCTCTGTGTCCGTTCCTGCCTCGTTTACTTGTGCTTGCATGTGAGAATGAACGAGAATGGATGAACTATGAAAGAGTTGGGTACAAGTACTAACCCTAATTGGGTTGTACCCCTTATGGGCTACCCCACTATAGCCTACACAAAATGCATAAGCTATGATGTTCTGACACACCCCCATAGGCAAAGTGGGGGAGAACAAGGGGTGACAAGACCAGTCAAACAAAGCAGAGCAAGCTCAGGGTGGATCACAAAGTCACCACACATTCGGAGCACAAGTTCAAGGCCACAAGGCCAGTTCACATGCAGGAGTACATATATATATAAAAGGCTAGACAAGCAAGAGTAGGTGCATATATATATGTAACAGTACAAACAAGGTCAAGAGGTGAGCAAGTGAGGCAAGGCACGCACAAGACCCAGCTGAGTACAGAAGCGCTGATGATCACAAGGCGCAAGCGCCTTGGTGAAGATATCAGCAGTGTTGGCCTCAGTGTCAGAACATTATAGCTTATGCTTTTGTGTAGGCTATAGTGGGGTATCCTATAGGGGGTACAACCCTATTAGGGTTAGTACTTGTACCCACTTCATTCATAGTTCATTTCATTCTCGTTTTCATTTTCTCATGGTATCAAGCAGGTTCCCTCGTGGGAACTGTTCCTAGGGCCCACCGATTCTTTTTTTTTCCTGCCCGGAGCACGTCTTGCCCCTGCCCGAAGCGCGCCTAGGGTCGTGCCCTTCTTAGCGGCCCCGTAGCGTCACCCTTAGCGGCCTGTCGCGTCGCCCTTAGCGGCCCGTCGCGCCGCCCTCACGGTCGTGTCGCGCCGCCCTAAAGGCCGCGTCGCGCCGCCCTAACGGCCTCTCGCGGCCCCGATCAGCCGCCCTTGCGGCCCCGATCCGCCGCCCTTTCACCAGCGGCCCCGTCGCCGCCCTTGCAGCGGCCCGTCGCCGCCCTTGCAGTGGCGCGTCGCCACCCTTCTCACGGCCCCGCCGTCCCTTTTAAACGGCCCCGCCGCCCTCACCTGCGGCCCGCCACCCTTCATGCGGCCCGCCGCCCTTACCTCCGGCCCAGCCGCCCTTACCTGCGGCCCCGCCGCCCTCAACTACGGCCCCGCCGCCCTCAACTGCGGCCCCGTCGCCCTTCCCTGCGGCCCCGCCGCTCTCACCTGCGGCCCCGCTGCTCTCACCTGCGGCCCCGCCGCTCTCACCTGCGGCCACGCCGCTCTCACCGGCGGCCCCGCCACTCTCACCTGCGGCCCCGCCGCTTTCACTTCCGGCCCCGCCGTCCTGACCTGCGGCCCCGTCCCCTGCTGCAGCGCTGCCCGCCACCCGAGCTGCCCGAGCCGCCTCACCCAGCCGAGCAGCCGACCGCCGCGCCGCCCTGCAGCAGCACTGCCGAGCCGCCAAGCCGACCAGCAGCCGAGCAGCCGAGCCGCCCTGCAGCCGAGCCGCCCAACAGCCGAGCCGCCGTACAGCCGAGCCACCGGGCCGCCGAGCCGCACTGTAGCCGAGCCACCCAGCCGCCCAGTAGCCGAGCCGCCGAGCCGCCCTACTACCGAGCCGCCCGAGCTGCCCCATCCGGTAAGCACAGCGCCTCTTTCACTGCACTACCCTCACCCTACTGCTTGCATTGCTAGTCTACTGTAGTCATGGCTACCCCTAGTGTCCTCGCTTTTGACGCTGAGGGTCGAGCCATTGACTTTGACGTCTGGGTAGATGACCTGCAGCTGTTCTTACAGTGCGATAGGGCAGACGGTCTCTCCCTCTTTGACCTCACCTCTGGCGCCTCTCCTGCCCCTGCTGCTGATGCTGACGCCACTGTTCGCTCCCAGTGGGCCACGCGCGTTGCTGCTGCACGTCTTGCTGTGCGTCGCCGCCTCCCTACCTCCAAGCGTGCGCACTTTAGTCAGTACAAGAGTGCTCAGACCTTGTACGACGCTGTAGTTGCACGCTACTCCTCCCCTGCCACTACTGCACTGAGCCGCTCATGCTACCGTACCTCTTCACTGACCTTGCTGCCTTTCCCACAGTCACTGACCTCATTACGCACCTCCGCACTAGTGACACTCGCTACCGCGCTGCCCTTCCTGCTGACTTCTGCGCAAAGAACCCCCCCCCCCCCCCATGTACATCACCCTCTATTACATAGTCACCCGACTCCCTGACTCCCTTCGCCTAGTCAGGGACCACTTCCTTGCAGTGTGCCCCACCACTCTGCTCCTCTACGTGCCCCTTTGCCTTCTCCTCCTGATTCCTCTCTTCCTGCTTTTGCCGACCCGGAGTCGGACTCTCTTCGTGCTGCCAGTCCTACTGTCACGCGTCTTCTTGCTACTGTCGTCAGTGACCCTCCCTTCGAGTCCACTGCTGCGTCTGCCCTAGTTGCTGAGCTTGTTGACTTTGCTGCTCGCTGTCGCCCAGACTACGCTGCTAGTCTTGTCGCTGAGTCTGAGTCTATCTGTCCTCCGTCCGTCGGGGGTGATTGTGCCCTTGGCACGGACGTCCTTGAGGACAGGCAGGAGGAGTTCCAGTGTCTGGCAGCTGCTTCACCTCATCTCGTGACCGTACTGCTTACCCCTAAGGGAGACCCGGATGCACTTGACATCCCGACTCCGCGCTCTTACGCGGAGGCGATAGAGGGTCCCTACTCCTCTCAGTGGCAGGCAGCTATAGACATAGAGATGGCTTCCTGGAAGTCCACAGGCACCTACGTGGACGAGGTTCCCCCGCCTGGGGTGAACATCGTCACTGGCATGTGGATCTTCAGGGTGAAGCGGCCGCCGGGCTCTCCGCCTGTCTTCAAGGCACGGTACGTGGCTCGTGGCTTCAGTCAGCAGCAGGGAGTTGACTAGTTTCAGACCTTCTCTCCCACCCCGAAGATGACCACTCTTTGGGTACTGCTGCACGTTGCTGCTCAGCGTGACTACGAGCTGCACTCTCTCGACTTCAGCACAGCTTTCTTGCAGGGCAACCTGCACGAGGAGATCTGGCTGCGCCGCCCACCTGGCTTCACTGGGTCGTTCCCTACTGGTACCCAGTGGAGTCTCCGGCGTCCAGTCTACGGTCCCGTCAGGCGCCACGTGAGTGGCACGACACAATGAGGACTACGCTTGCGGCTCTTGGGTTTGCTCCTTCTACTGCCGACCCGTCGCTGTTTCTGCCCACCGACACCTCTCTGCCGCCGTTCTACATCCTCGTGTACGTCGACGACTTGGTCTTTGCCACAGCTGACACAGCTGGACTCGCCTACGGGAAGTCCAAGCTGCAGAAGAGACACACGTGCACAGACCTGGTTTAACTGCGCAGCTACCTTGGCTTGCAGATCATCTAGAACAGAGCACGCCGCACCATTACCCTGACTCAGTCACACATGGTGCAGCAGGTTCTTCAGCGCTTCGGCTTCACGTACTCCTCGCCTCAGGCCACTCCTCTGCCTACTCACCACTCGCTCTCAGCTCTGCCTTCGGATGAGTCCGTAGAGTTGAGTGGCCTGTATCCAGAGCTTCTTGGCTGCCTCATGTACCTGATGACCTGCACACGACCTGACCTTGCATGCCCTCTTAGCATCTTGGCACGCTATGTTGCTCCTGGAAGACACCGACCAGAGCACATGGCTGCAGCGAAGAGGGTGTTGCGCTACTTGTGCAGTACGTCGGGCATGGGGCTAGTGCTTGGAGGGCGCAGTCCAGTGGTCCTCACTGGGCACGCAGACGCTTCTTGGCCTGACGACCAGGCTACGCAGCGGTCGTCACAGGGTTACACCTTCAGCCTTGGTTCCGGCTCTGTCTCGTGGCGGGCTACTCGCTCGTCTTCTATTCTTGGCTCTAGTTGTGAGGCTGAGATCTACACTGGGCCATGGCTGCACAGGAGCTTCGTTGGCTCACCTACCTGCCGACTGACCTCGGAGAGCCGCCTCGTTCTCCTCCAGTTCTGTACGTAGACAACAAGGCCATGCTGGCCTTGTGTCGAGAGCAGCGACTGGAGCACAGAACAAAGCACATTGCTCTCCACTACTTCCTTGCTTGTGAGCTACAGCAGCGTGGACAGTTGCGGCTTGCGTACGTGGCCTCTGAGGCCAACACTGCTGATGTTTTCACCAAGGCACTTCCGCCTTGTGATCATCAGCGTTTCTGCACTCAGCTGGGTCTTGTCCCTGTCTTGCCTCACTTGCTCACCTCTTGACCTTACTTATACTGTTACATATATATATATATACCTGCTCTTGCTTGTCTAGCCTTACATATATATGTACTCCTGCATGTGAACTGGCCTTGTGGCCTTGAACTTGTGATCGGAATGTATGGTGACTATGTGATCCACCCTGAGCTTTGCTTTGCTTTGCTTGACTGGTCTTGTGACCCCCTATTCTCCCCCACATTGCCTATGGGGGTATGTCAGAACATTATAGCTTATGCTTTTGTGTAGGCTGTAGTGGGGTATCTTATAGGGGGTACAACCCAATTAGGGTTAGTACTTGTACCCACTTCATTCATAGTTCATTTCATTCTCGTTCTAATTTTCTCACCCAGAGGCCACGTACGCAAGACGCAGCTGACCACGTTGCTGCAGCTCACGAGCAAGAATGTAGCGGAGAGCAATGTGCTTCGTTATGTGCTCCAGTCGCAGCTCCCGACACAAGGCTAGCATGGCCTTGTTGTCTACGTACAGCACTGGAGGAGAACGAGGCGGCTCTCCGAGGTCAGTCAGTAGGTAGGTGAGCCAGCAAAGCTCCTGAGCAGCCATGGCTCCTGCGTAGATCTCAGCCTCACAATTGGAGCCAAGAACAGAAGACGAGCGAGTAGCCCGCAACGAAACAGAGCTAGAACCAAGGTTGAAGGTGTAACCCTGTGATGATCGCTGCGTAGCCTGGTCGTCAGCCCAAGAAGCATCTGCGTGCCCAGTGAGGACCACTGGACTCTACCCTCCAAGTACAAGCCCCATGCCCGACGTACTGCACAAGTAGCGCAACACCCTCTTCGTTGCAGCCATGTGCTCTGGTCGGTGTCTCCCAGGAGCAACATAGCGTGCGAGAATGCTAAGAGGGTATGCAAGGTCAGGTCGTGTGCAGGTCATCAGGTACATGAGGCAGCCAACAAGCTCTGGGTACAGGCCACTCGACTCTACGGACTCATCCGAAGGCAGAGCTGAGAGCGAGTGGCGAGTAGGCAGAGGAGTGGCCTGAGGCGAGGAGTACGTGAAGCCGAAGCGCTGAAGAACCTGCTGCACCATGTGTGACTGAGTCAAGGTAATGGTGCGGCGTGCTCTATCCCGGGTGATCTGCAAGCCAAGGTAGCTGCGCAGTTCACCCAGGTCAGTGCACGTGTGTCTCTTCTGCAGCTCGGACTTCACATGGGCGAGTCCAGCAGTGTCAGTTGTGGCAAAGACCAAGTCGTCGACGTACACGAGGATGTAGAATGGTGGCAGAGAAGTGTCGGTGCGCAGAAACAGCGACGGGTCGGCAGTAGAGGGAGCAAACCCAAGAGCCGCAAGTATAATCCTCTGTGTGTCGTGCCACTCACGCGGTGCCTGGCGAAGACTGTAGACTGGCCGCCGGAGGCTCCACTGGGTGCCAGGAGGAAAAGGCCCAGTGAAGCCAGGTGGGCGGCACAGCCAGATCTCCTCGTGCAGGCTGCCCTGCAGGAAAGCAGTGATGAAGTCAAGAGAGTGTAGCTCGTAGTCACTGTGAGCAGCTACGTGAAGTAGTACCCGAAGAGTGGTCATCTTCGGGGTGGGAGAGAAGGTATGAAAGTAGTCAACTCCCTGCCGGTAACTGAAGCCACGAGCCACGTAACGCGCCTTGAAGACAGGCGGAGAACCCAGCGGCCACTTCACCCTGAAAATCCACATGCCACTGACGATGTTTGCCCCAGGCGGGGGAACCTCGTCAACGTAGGTGCCTGTGGACTTCCACTAAGCCATCTCTGCGTCGATAGCTGCCTGCCACTGAGAGGAGTAGTGACCCTCCATCGCCTCCGCGTAAAAGCGCGGAGTCGGGATGTCAAGTGCATCCGGATCTTCCTCAGGGGTAAGCAATACAGACACGAGATGAGGTGAAGCAGGAGCCAAGCATTGGAACTCCTCCTGCCTGTCCTCAAGGACGTCTGTGCCAAGGGCACAATCACCCCCGACGGACGGAGGACAGACAGATTCAGACTCAGCAACAAGACTGGCGGCGTAGTCTAGGCGACAGCGAGCAGCAAAGCCGACGAGCTCAGCAACTAGGGCAGACGCAGCAGTGGACTCGAAAGAAGGGTCACTGACGACAGTAGCCAAGAGACGAGTGACAGTAGGATTGGCGGCACGAAGAGAGTCCGACTCCGGGTCGGCAAGAGCAGGAAGAGAAGACTCAAGAGGAGAAGGTAAAGGGGCACGCAGAGGAGCAGTGAACAGACGCAGAGACATCCGGTGCGTGCAAGGGACAGGAGGAGGACGCTGACGCGGACCGCGACCACTTGTGCGAGCAGCACGGACAGGCGACGCAGGGCGAGACGTAGGCTCACGACGCTCAGCAAGACCTCTAGTAGGACCAGTGTAGGGAGACGGAGCAGGTAGTGGGGAGGCCGGCTGTAACTGAAAATGTGACGGGATAGGCTGTGGACACTCTAAGGGAGGAGGAGGACCAGTAGAAGGCGGGAGACAAAGAACCTGCTGAAGGAGCGGAACGAAGGACGGCCGAGGCCGCGCAGTGACTCAAGACACAGCAGGGATAGCACCAGTACCCCCAGCGGCAGCACCAGCACCAGCAGCACCTCTAGCTCTAGTACCTCCAGCAGCACCAGTAGCACCCCCAGCAGGACCGCCTCCAGGACCGACAGCAGGAGCCTCCGCGCCAACACCCGCAGCAGCTCCAGCTCCAGAAGTACCCGCAGGCTCTACAGCTCCAGTACTCCCATACGAGCACCTCCGGGACCCGCGGCACAAGCACCCTCAGCAGCAGCAGAACCTCAAGTACCCGCAGCACCTCCAGCTCCAGCAGGTCGCCTCCAGCGCCGGGCAAACCACTCACGCAGCTCCTGTGGAGATAGTGGCTCCCGGCGAGACGAAGCACCCCGAGAACCGCCAGGCACAGCACCGCTAGACGCCAGACGAGCAGGCCTAGCTCCCTCAGGCTCAGCACCTCCAGGCTTAGCACCTCCAGGCGTAGCACCCCCAGGCGTAGCACCCCCAG